GTATTTCTAAGGCCTTGCACCAGATGCGCGTGTTAAACGATTTAAGGAAATGAATCACCGACGCTCTCCACCTTACAACGGTCCAGTGGACTGTTTCTAACCTGATTGAACTCAGAAGCTTTGTCATGGTTCTCATCTGTGATCTATAGAAATATTAAGGAAGCTGCGAACCTAGATTGTAGATCAAAATTGGCCATTAATTTGCATTAGTATGACCGAGGCATGTTTATCTTGAGGTGTTCAACATTCAGATAGAATCCATTGCTGATACAAATCATGCGATATAGTATTGGACATTCGCGCTCACAAATCTTAGCAACAAAAATCTCGACGCTGGGCGTTGCAGTTTCCATGGTCCGTGCATTGTCGGCTCAGTGGCTAACACTGAGTCGTGAACAAGATGTGGACGAAAATGATGACACATCTGAAAAAAAGTACCTTAAAACGCTTTAAGACATCAAATCTTACACTTTGCAGGTAATTTTCGAGCATATATTTCAACGGTGCGATTTTTAGATTGATAATAAGAACGAACTAGCTTTTACAACACCGCGAATTGGTGCTGGAATCTGGTGAACTGGAAGAGTAAGGGTAGGATCTCTGTTTCCGCGTTGCTGTAACTGTTAATCTGTCCAGAGGACAACCTCAAAGTTGTAAAAAAGATAGGCTCAGCCTTATCTTTGAACGATACGACTTAGCTTTGAAAGACCCTCGTGGCCATCATTTCACGACGGTCGTTCTCGCACGCATGGCACTCACCACCTAGTGTGACTTGCAGTTGGCAACGCCGTTCGGCTTTATAGCAGCTGCAACCCAGGCCATCGCTGTCCCGGCTCCCGAGAGTACTGGCGCGCATGCTCAAACGTTTTAATGTCATTTGTTTAACACGCTCCCGGGTGGCCGGTTAGATACCCCCCGCTAGGTTGGGGGGTCAATTTGACACCCCTCCCTTAAACCTCAAGAATTCTAAGACATCTAAGGGCACGAAATTCAAAGAGCATATTGGTATTTATGTAAATGTCATTGTGACAAAATTATAGCTTCTTAGGTAATGATCTTGTGGTTTATCAAGGTCAAACGAGGTCAAACTCCGGATTGAGTCTCGAGTGTCCAATACCTTTTTATGCAACCACCATCAGCCTATATACCTACTCCAAGTAAGAGGCTAATGGTGTTCAGTTAAGATCAGTGACCTTGTTTCACCTTTCAAGGTCAAGTTTACCAAATACCTACAAGCACCAAATGCCTACAAATCCTCATAGCTTCACTGTCTTCCGGGATGTTAGGCACCTCTGACCGATACAGGAGTCCCGCATTGTTCCAAGGGCCCTGACCAATGTAAATCATTGGCCCGACCTTGTCTCTGTGTGGGAAATAGGCCCTCAGAGCTCAGACCGACACGGAGCCAACTCGAGAGACCCTTCAGCCCCTCTTTGGGCGACTAAAACGCCGCTCCTGGTCGACTCGAAGCCACGTCCCGCCACAGGACCTATGTTGGGCACTGTGGCCCTTGACCGACACAGGAGCTCCTCATTATCTCAGGGACCCCGAAAATTACAAAGTGCGGGCCCAAGCCTCATGCCCGCCTGGGAAATGGGTCCCAAGGGTTCAGACGGGCATGGAACCGATAGCCTGGTTCCGTGCCGAGGCACAGTGTAATGGAGATAGAGAACCCTAATAAAGGGCCCTAATAGAAGCCCGCTGACCGAAATTTCAGGTCACAGCACCACGAGTGATCACAGGGCCAGGGCTCGATCGGCCCCTTGATCTTTGGTCCCGAGGGGCGTTTCGGGCCCCTCTCACGGCTCGTAGTGACTCTGGCCACATACTGACACAGGACCCCTGTCAGGCACTTTAAGGCCCCTGACGGACCCCATCATAGTTCCAGTGACCCCAACTGAAGCAGATCGCGGGCCAAGCCTTGCTTGTGCCTGGGAAATGGACCCCAGGGCTCATATCGACACGTAGCCGGCTGTTTGGTATTGGTGGTCTCTGGCTGAAATAGATGCCCGCACTCCCCCAGGGGTCCCCAACCGATGCAACAGACCCTTTTACTGATATTTGAGGTCACGGCGTTACGGGCGGGATGACACCATCAATGTTACCTATGGTCAGTCTTTCTGGCCATTCAGTCTTTCAATCGGGCTCTTAATCTTTGGTCCCGAGGGGCCCTTCGGCCCCTCTTCGGGTCTCCTTAAACAAAGAATGTGACCGACCAGGGGACACTAGTCGACACAAGACCCCTTGGTTGACACTGTGGGCCCCTGGCCGGCTCAGAGGCCACAATCACTGTTTCAGGGACCCGGACCAATGCAAGTCGTGGCCCTCGACCCGACTCATCAAACACTGCCCTTGCTCAGCTCGGGGCCCGTAGTGAACAAAGGACGTTCTGTTCGGCGCTGTAGGCCCGTGACATACGAAGGCCCCAACCAGTGTAAATCGCTGGCTCCGGCTTTGCAGCTAAATGGGAAGTAGGCCCTCAGGCCCATACCGACACGGAGCTGACTGTGCGGTACCGATGGTGCCTGATGGACATATAGGCCCATATCGACTTAGGGGGCCTCCGATTGCCCCAAGTGGCCCTCTGGCTGTCATTTGAGTGCCCGTCCCCGCGAGCCGGGCCCCTGAATAAGTCTCCGGCCAACCCTTTGTACCCCTAGACCCCCAATCGGGCCCTTGATTGTCGGACCCGATGACCCCTCCAGGCTCTTTAGGCCTCCTCGAACACTGCTCCTGGCATACTTGGGACCCCTTGCTAACACAGGGCTCGTTAGGCGCTGTGGGGGCCTGACAGATGCTGGGACCCCAACCAATGTAAATCGCTGGCTCTGGCTTTGTTCCTGCGTGGGAAATAAGCCATCAGGCGCATGCCGCTTCGGAACCTACTGTGCATTACTGGTGGTGTCTGGCCGACATATAGACCCTTGTGGACTCAGGGCGGCCCTGATCAACGCGCAGGGTCTTTCGGCTGGCATTAGAGCGTGCAGTTTCTGCGAGCCGGGCCCATGATTACGACCTCCGGCCGGCCTGTGTGTGTGTGTGTGTGTGTGGTGTGTGTGTGTGTGTGTGTGTGTGTGTGTGTGTGTGTGTGTGTGGTGTGTGTGTGTGTGTGTGTGTGTGTGTGTGTGTGTGTGTGTGTGTGCGTGCGTGTGTGTGTGTGTGTGTGCGTGTGTGTGTGTGCGTGCGTGTGTGTTTGTGTGTGCGCGTGCCTGCACAAATCTACTACGACTATTTGCATGTTTTTAACACGTAAATGGCGGCCCTGTCTTTCCATCGCCCACCTGCTCAGCTTCTTCAGTCTGGTGGGCGGCTGGAATTGGAGCCCTGGACTCGGATCCCTCGGACCAGACCTCTGCCCTTACCAGCGTGCGTGAATGTTGTACTACTGATATCGTGTGAGTGAGTTACTTTCCCAGGTGGGCATTAGCGGCCAGTCGTATGGTGCCGTTGGCTACAACCACAATTTTGCCTTCCTTGTTTATTTCTGCTAATGACTAGCGTAGCATCCTAGTGGGCTTTGCAGCCTTGTCCTCTTATTTTTGTTTTTTCTTCCACCTCTTGGCAGGGAGTGTCGCAACTTGCGTTCATTATTTTTGGTGTTAACATAAGGTCCGGTGTGTCGCTGGGCCAGTGGGAGGTGGCCCATGGTCGACTGTGAATAGGTGGCGGTTCAAACAAATATAGTATTTCAATGTACCGAGAGGTGGCCGTGGCAGCACTGCAGGTGTGGCCGCTGCAGTGATGGTGCTAATTTCGTCATGTGCCTTTGTTTTGGCCCTTTTTCGTGGTGTCCTTACATATTTATCCGTGATCTTAAGGTGCTTGCATGCATTCACACTCTCGGTTATGGCGCTCCTCTGAACTTATTCGATTACAAGTCTTATTCCCGCAATAGCTAGCAAGGATGTCCCGCTTTTTGCTGCAGGTGACACAAAACGTGATTCGCCATTGAAAGTTTGATCCTGCTATCCTCTTTCTTGCTTTATCCTGCATCCTTGCGGTACCCTGCATACCTGGGGCAAGCTGCATGCGCCAACAACGAGTGGGCCGAGAGACCCCGGGAGGCGACAGCCGTCCGGGCGCCCGGCGCACATCCCGAAGACGAGTCCCTGCGTGGGTTAGGTCTCGGCGGTTTGGGCTCCAGACACAGGTAAACCTGCCACACCGTCATCTATTCTTCTTTATCCCATAGCCCTGAAAAGACCGTTACTGTTCAAAGCGACTCCAATTCAAATAGTCACATGACAAAATCGTGATTAAAACTGGCTCAGCCTGCTGAACGTCGTTTGACAGCTAGTTGACGTCCATTACATCTGAAAACCATGTTCACAAACGCCAGATATGAACGGCTCGACGTGCATAGTCTCGTTGGCCTTGAATGCCGCATGGTAAATGAAGTGACGTGATTTGAATGACATTCCTTTGGTGTCATGCATACCTGAATGACCTTGAAATAGTCTGCACGATATAGCCTGCACATCTTCGTGGGCGTGCAGCTCAGACACTAGAAGGCTTATGCCTAAAGAATGGCAAGGATGTGAACTGCACAGAATAATCTTCCAGATGGCTATTTCTGTTCAAAACCCCATACGACTGTGGAACACCTCCTTTCATGCGCAGAATCTCGTCGCACTGTCAAGTTTGATTGTTTTTGAGGCCTCATGAATTCTCCGCGGGGGATGCGGCATGAGACAAACCACCTGTCGTCGCCGGGGGAAGAGATGTGTTACACCACCTGCACCTGCATCCCGGTGAAGGCAACAAGCCTGGAGCCGACGGGAAGCGAGAGGGGTAAACTTTGCGGATCGTTCCCTTCGCCACCGCCCACCCGTCAGATCACCGGCGCCGACATGGCGCCTGCCATCTCGCGCGCCGTGCCGGCGGCGGCGGCGGCGGCGGCGGCGGCGCAGGCGCCGGCTGCGGCAGCGCGTCGGTCTCCGATCGATACGGCACCGGTCGGCCGGCGTCACCAGTGCCCCGGCCGTGCCGGCGTCGGCCGACCCCCGCCAGCTGACGGACGGGCCAGCCGCCGAGTCGTACCTCCGCCACACGTTCCTCCGTCAGGTGGGTGCGGTGGAAGGCGAGCGGCCCCGGTGACGCGTCGCCCGTCGACGGTCGCTCTCTGGCTTTAGTGGGTGGCGGCTCTAGTGGGCTCAGGTCGAGACATTTCGGCCGGGGGCGTTGGTTTGTCGGCGGGTCAAAGAAGCGTTGTAGCGCACTGTTTTCCTCTCACTGGCGTGACTGATCTATCCCAATATCGGCGGCTGACTCCGATGCCACCTTTCCTACAAAATAGATTCATAAGTCGTTGCACTTACACTTACCGTGAATTTGCTTGTCTTGCGTATTTTACATTTTTACATCACGCTTTATTATTTTCTCTTCTCAGCGGTTAAACATGCAAAAATTCAGATCACCGATTAGCGACTGAGGAATAATATGCCAATGACCGAGGTGTACGTATTTAATATTTTTACTGTAAGGCATGTTTTTACTTACTGGGTCCTTGTGTTGCCATCTCAAGTTCACAGCAGATCAGAGGATCGGTGCGCATAGGCGCAGCGTGTGGTAGCAAACGTTTTGTCTCGAACCCTTGACCTGTCGGTAATCTGGCCAGTAATCAAGCCCCTTACTCGGTCGTATCCAAGTCACAGTCCTGCTTGTATTTACTCAGGATACTAGCCGCTTCTACGGGGGACAAACAAGAGACCAGAAAATATGCCAACTTGCGCTCAGCGTCATGCTGCGGGCCATCCATCCCTTTCAACCAATGCCTGAGCGCACGGATCCCATGGCGTCCTTTGTGACCAACCTTTGTCTGTCAATAGCCACCTAGCATCATCCTTGTTCTGTGGGCAGGTACCGATCGGTCACCTCCGAAGAAGGCGGGGCGCGCTTGGGTGACCGCGAACGACGAAACCCGACTCGCGGCGCTCGCGCGCTTCGGAGCCGATTTAGCGCCAGCGTGCTGCAGCAACCGCAGGCAACCTTCCCGGCCAGCCGCGACCGCTCTGTGACCCGGGTCAAGAGGTTGCGCGGAGGAGTGAGCACGACGCCACGCTCCAGACACCATGGCGGGAACCGGCGGTACGTGTCCTAGCTGTCGGATTCGCTGTTTGATGTTATGTCGTTTCGCTGTTCTGCTGTCCTTCTAGTCTGCTTTTCGGCCGAGGCGGGCTGTTGGATTACGCTCAGCTGGATGGGTTCAAGTCCCTCTCTCTCACCGACTTGCGGTTCAGCCCGATCTTAGATTTAATTCGACAGAGGACACTGCATCATTGACTTCACGCGCATGCAAAAAAGAAAAAAAAGTAACAACACAACACTGCAACGGAGGGCGAATATGAACTATTACTTCGATCTTATTCCAAAAGATAAAGAGTTGGCCACGTCCGAGGACGAAACTGCATACCGCGGGTACCGCGAGCTCATCGACTCCGTGCAGAGACCGCGCAGTTTGCTTTGCGAAACGACGCCCTTGACCTGAGCTAGCTCTGCGAAACATCAGTCGAGGGCTCTGTAGAGCGGCACCGTCAGCGAATGACCTCTCTTATGAGGGGTCCGGAGCAGCGGCTCCCATTGCTCAGCTGCAGGTAGTCGTCCTATCACGACCATGGCCTGAAAAAGTACCGACGATATACCTAATACCGTAATCATACAGCACGCCGATTCGTTATGGTGGTATTTCTATGCACTTCCAGGACGCAGATTTATGTTATCATTTCTGTTGTGTTGGCTCATGCATGCATCAGATCCACCGACAGTTAGTTGCGCTGATATTCATTTTATTTTGCAGGACATCGCGTTAATATCGAAGACACTGCCGGCAGCTATTCAGGTAAAGCCTTCATATACTGGCTATCTGGTTAAGTACCAATTTCACCTCAGTTTCAGTGAGAGCTTTGCACTGGAAAAATGCTAGTAGCTCGCGCAAGACAGGCCGCTTTATATGACTCAGTGCGGCCTGGCTATGTCTACTAAGAGGACATCGTGAAGTTCATGTCGAGGACTTTTGAAAGAGACCGTGGAGTTATGCTTTTGACGTGGTGTATCATAGGGTCCAGGCAACAATATATGCAAGGGTGTGCTATACACTATGCGCTCCAAACAGTTCCATAGAAGTTCAAAACAATGAACAAATCATTAACGCCCGTGTCATAGGCTTTCAAAAATCTCTGAGCGGCGAAATTAACATAATCATGGACAACTGTTTCCAACCATGAATATGATCTTCGCATAGATATTTGGAGGGGGCAGGGTCTCCAGTGCACGGGTCAGTTCTGAAGTCTATCAAGAGACACAAGGGCCTCGTGTTGGAGCCATCGATCCAACATACATCCACCCCGCCCTCGCAGCGGTTTTTGAACCCGTCCCACCTCCGTCTCTGACACATCACGCCATAGCCTAAGTTAAAATTCACACACATTCACACCCTTTCCGCCGCCGATCTGGGCGTAGCGTGATCCTAGCTACACTCTACCACGTCCCTGATCTGCCCGCAGGCCTGAGCGAGGCGGAGAAGGTGCGCGTGCGCCGCGAGGTGCTGCAGGAGCCGGAGGTGCAGGAGTCGGTGGAGGACATGCGGGAGCGACTGCGCCTCATGAAGACCATCGTGGATGACACGCGCGAGGTGATGAGCGGCGCCGGGGGCGCCGAGGCGCGCCCCAAGGGCATCGCCATCGACGGCGCCATGATGGGCGCCATCTTCACCGTTATTTTGGCTGTCATCCTCGGCGCGTCGGCGCACGCCTTCCAGAATCTCTACTACGCCGTGCTTAAGCGCTTCGGTCGGTAATGGCGCGACTGGGGCGGTCGGAACGCAGAATAGCGGCGTGGCGGGGGCGATCGCGGCGCGGCGGGGCGATCGCGGCGTAGCGGGGCGATCGTGGCGAAGTCGGAGCGACGTCTGATGCCGGGACGTGTGGCCCAGGGGTGCAGCGAGCCCCGCTGAAACCGGCTGGAGTTGGCGGCTAGGAAGGAGGCCAGTCATTCCAGAGACGGGAGACAGCCGGCAGCTCACTGGCGACAAGACGCGATCGTGCCTGGCAGGTCTGATCTGATCTTCGAGGCGTGATCATGCCCGGCAGGTCTGATCTGGTCTGCACGGCGCGATAATGCCCGGCAGGTCTGATCTGATCTTCACGGCGTGATCATGCCCGGCAGGCCTGATCTGATCCGACCTGAGGCGTTGCGAGCCGTTAGGCCAGTCTTGGTAGAGTGTCGCCGCAGGCCGACCCCTTTTCAGCGGGTAAAGGCTGGTGTCATTAGCTCCCAGTGACATGGGGCTCGTGAACTCATCTGTAATGTGCTTCCTTCACTAGAATAACTCCGCCCTGGGCTTTGCACATCACACGTACCTGCCAGACAAGGCTAAGGGCTTTGCTGCATGACTTCTTGCGGTCGACACGCCCTCCTCCCTCCCTCCATCCCCCCTCCGTCCTCGACCACCAATCTAAAAGCTTGTTTACGACGGATCCAACGCGCTTTCTGAAGACGTTGGGAACAACGTATTGTGCGTCGGCCACACCCCGCTTTCGTGCCAGTTAAGATGCTTAGGGAACAGGTCTGTAGAGGCGCTCAGTATGTGTTGCTCGATAATTTTAGCAAAGTATGAATGTTAAAACGCGAGAGGCTCAACTATAGATGCAAATAAGAGAGCAAGCTACACGTAGTGCTGCCACTCAAAGCATGTCCAACCCAGGGTTCGTTTGAACGGTCACAGTACATTGCGAACATGTTAAGCACCAGCGGAAAGTCCGTCACTTGGCGATTGTCAACCATCATTTGAAAATTTGTTGAGCTTTTGTGTCCTGCATTTCGCTTTGATCACCATTTCTCAGGGTTGCACGTGTCCTGCTTTGTTGCTTGGGTGTTGCCAAGTTTTTGTCTGATTCCATTTCAAGGGATTGAGACCACGAGGAAAGGTTGTTTGTTCAACCTGCACACGTATACAGTTACCCAATAATCTCATATTTTTCGATAAATTTCCCTTTGCCAGAGATATTATGTTAGCGTTGTAACCAATATGATAATTTTTAACCCGTTCGCGGAAAAATTTAGTTGTAAATTCGAAAATTGTCAATAATCCAATGCTCTTAAAAACCACGACCCCCAGTTGAAGAACTAAGATGAGTTTTACCTTCTGGTCGTTGTTCTTGTGTAACTGAATGAGTATAGCCCGTGCGTTCGGCTCTAACGACCAAGTGCGTAAAGCTCGGCTCGTTCTGCCAGATCCCAGGGTGACAGATGCCCTCCAATAACACCGCCAGATGATAGCTCCTCCAAACAAGCGAAAGCTTACTGCTGCATGCCATTCGCCCGTCTTTCCTCAGTTATTGATTTACCCTTAATCGTCTCAACGCTTTGTTTATCGGGGACGATCTGCATGCATCATCCATCAGCGGGCTTTGGTGCTTCGGTGGCAGGAGTCTCGTCCGAACGCCCCGCGTCAAGCCCGATGACTCCCTGTGTCCCTGCGCGATGTAAGTCTCGGTGGCAGAGGACTCCCAGGTGGCCAGACGCTCATAGTCTTGCCCCGTCACACTCCATTATCACCCATCCCATAGCCTTGAAACGGTTATTGCTTGCGCAAAAAGGCCCTTCTCCAAAAAAATATGTCAATACTTCGCCTTTGATCACCGAGATCGCACATCTGCTTGTGTTCCTCAGCCGTCCCTGACTGCTGGCTGCGTCCCTGGCTGCTGGCTGCAGCCTTCACAAGCCACCTCCGGCTGGGCTGGTGAATAATGCATGCCGATAGTGTCGCACTCAGTGGGGCCCGACGCACCATACCTACTTTCTTGTTCCGTTTACATTGTAACTACAGCTAACTATGAGTGAGGAAAGAAGAAAAACGTGCAGTTCTACCAGATTGTTATTTCATTTTATTGTCTTTTGTTGTTATTTATTATCATTATTATTATTTCACATTATCATTATTCGTGGTCCTCGTCATGACCGCGAGTTCTTTAATTTATAGCAAGGCTGTCATTCTTGATGAGCTTTTTCCAAACGCAGCTTGTCGTTCGGAGGCTGTTCGTAGGGGTATGGCGCTCATGAACCGCACCACGGGCAGCAAGTCGCGGGCCACCAGGTGATTAGTGCCGAATGAGTGGGCAGTGACCGTTCCAGTGTAGTCTCTCTCGCACAAGGTCGGTGACGAAAGTAATTGAAGAACACTTCTACTCTGTGCATTTTAGACACATTTTCAACGCATGTATAAGTACGTTGTCTGCAATGCCAGCTGTCACTGGATGTGAAACATAGACGTAAAATTCGCGACACCAGTGGAGCAATGCCCTGCGAAAGGGAGGTTTCGTAACTTTTCAGATAGCACAGTTTATGAAAAGATTAGGATGACAATCGTGAACCAAATGTATGCTTGGTATCGCTGAGTGCTGAGCTGTCCAATGATCTGCGTCGTGTTCTCCCGCAATCCAGCCGTCCTCGGCGGCCCGTGGGATGAGGCCACCGGGCGCGGGCCCGCTCTTCCTGTGTTGTCCCTCGTCCTCGGTACCTATTCAGCCCATGACGTCACGGGCGCTGCGCATGCGCAGGGTGGCCGCGAAGCGCCCGGTCGCGGCTGGGGGGCGCGGGTGTAGCTGCCGCTGGGGTCAGAAGGAGCCTGACCACAGTCACCTGCGAGCAGGTTGGACCATTTTTGTCTTTTGGACATACGAAACAACACAAAAATAGACCTGCACCCCAGACCACCGAGGGCGAAGCTACGTGCGTGGTGCTTGGACTGGTGGTCACGGCTGCGTCCGTACCGTGTGCGCCTGACGGGGTATCCGCAGGCGTAGCTCCCCGACCCGGTGACGGTGTGGGGGCCCAGCGAGCCGACCGACGCCGCTTCAATAATACTCAGCTCGCGTCCGGTGTTTCTTTCTCTCGGTGCAGTTGTACGACGCGGTCCCCGATGCGATGCGATGGCGGTGCGGTGCCGCTCGTTCCAGCAGGCTTGCGACAGCACGGTCAGCGTCAGTCGTCCACCGCGGCTGGGGACGGTGGCCTCGCCCCATGATGACATTCGGCCCACTCCGACTGGCTGCCGCGGGCCACGGAGCCGAGGGGAGGACCGCCACCGAGGACGGCGGTCCTCGCCGTGAGAAAAACGCCCATGCCCCGGGCGAACACACGACAGTTCAAAAATAGCAGTTACAGTCAACATGAACGAAATCGACACCAGAGCAAAGCCCCGTGCGAACATATAAAACTAATATGCGGTAGGCGCAAAACTGCAGTCACACGCATTTGACAGGATTCGCTCTTCATCCAGGTGTGTGTAGCTAGCTCGGTTTCCTCGCTGACTCCGCGGCTCCGTTGAGCCACACACACGCCTGTTCTGGTGAACAATCATGCAGGCGAAATGTCAGGAACTCGAAGTGGGCTCATACAGGCATTTGCCCATACGTTGGCCTATGGCTGTGCACCTGATGCGAGTTACTCGGCAGCTGAGAGATGCTCCCCAGGTGACAAACATGATCAGAGCACGTACGGGCTGGGCGCACCGCACCAGTTCGAGTAACTCTTCACAGTGCCCTAACAGAACAATTTTAACATTGAGGACGTAGAAACGGAATCTGATCTGAAAGAGAATGCAGCTCATGGACGTGGCAACTCACGCACACTGCGCAGCACGATCGACAGAGGTGCACGAAGTGTTAGCGTGCGAATGCGACACGCGCGAGTTGAGCGTCCCAGTATTGTAGGGAAGATGGTACCCAAGCAGGAATATTTCCTTCACGTCGTAATTCGCCCTTCCCAGTTGCCATGTCTGCCTTCGCATCGATCAGTAACGAACAAAATCAGCGATGAGTAAATCTTCGTTATCAGCACGATACACCCGTAGTTCACTTATACGCTGCATACAGGAGTGACTTCCAAACGATGGAAACTCAGTTGTTTTTGTTGCGCGGGCGTTAATTCTCCACGCGACGTCCGACGATCTGAACTTTTCACACGACACGCCGGCGCGGCAGAAGCCGAACAGGTCGAGATGAGAACGTCGTCGAGGACGTCGAGACCTTAGGCCGTCTTAACTAGAGGACTTCGCCGGTTGGGAAAACCCAGGGTACCCGTGTGTAATGAGTATCGGGCTGGGTTGGGTACAGATTGCGGCAAAACTGCAGGTAGGAGTGTAGGTATGGGTCAGTTATGAAATCTTGATTGAATGCTTCGGTAGCGCGCGGGCACGGGCACAGCCTCATGGTTAGCGGGTGGGCATGGGCACAGCCTCGTGGGTAGTAGGTAGGCATGGGCAAAGCCTCGCGGGTAGCGGGCGGATTGCGCAAAGGAAATCGTACGCGCAAAAGGCCTATCGTACTATCGCTGTAACGTCGGGCGCCCGCGGCGCTGGGAGCCGGCCTTTGCCCTTCAGCCGACCTCCACAGGGGTCACCCGACACCGACACCGGGCCACCTCCAGCTGGGCTGCGGCGCGGCCCGCCGACAAAGCGCCCGACAAGAATAGTATCTGCGCGCGGCCCCTGACCTATGCCTGTCCGGTTCACGTTGCGGCTTCCTCCCAGTCTACCCACCGGCAGCGTGCTGGCGGCCGGCGGCCTGGCCCCGACCCAACGGTCACACAGCACAGACTCGAGACGTGTTTTATTAACCCATGTACAGTTCGTCGGTGAACACTGCCGACCACTCCCCACACTGATGCCACCTCGCCGGCGTGCAGCCTCCGCGTGCCTCCACATTCTCAGCCTCCTCAGCCTCCCGCCGTCTGCCTCCTCGCCTGGCACCGCTGCCCTAAGGGGCGGTGTCGGGCCGCCTCCCTCCTCGCGCTCAGTCGTCACCGCCCTCCTGGCCGTCGTCGCCGTTACGTCGGTCCGGAGAGCCGGCATCGGCGGGCGCGTCGCAGCGCGAGCCGGAGCCGGAGCGGGAGCGGGAGCGAGAGCTGTCGGCAGATGGCGCGCCGCATCAGTCACCAGAGAGCGGTGGCCGCCGTTGGGGATCAGCCAGCCAAAGGGAGGGGCTATTAGTTGAGCACCGCAGCCGCAGCAGCGAGACGGCACCGTTTGGCGGCATGAATAGGACCAGAAGCAGGCGGTGCTGATAATGCAGCAAAGAGAGAAAGAGGACAGCCACCGAGCAAGACACGCAGGGTCGGCACAATGGTCGGTCGCACTAGTGGACGGCGATGCGAGAACCGCGAGGTGGTGGTGCGAGCTCGGCACGGCAGCTTGGAGACACGAACCTGCTGCCGCCGTCAACACTGGGCATAAACATACACAAGCTCGGACAACACTGCGCAGATGGGGAGCAAAACGGATGGCTGTACCAGAAGGTAGAGAGCTTGTAGGATAACAAACAAAACCGAACACACAACCGTCCATTGTTCTAGGGTGCACCAAGCTACACCACACTAGCATCTGGTGCAGCCGCACTGGGGCTGGACATGCCATGGGAGGTGGGATACAACGCCGCGACGCACATCCTCCCTTCGGGATCTGCATGATGCACCGAAACCAAACGACGGAAAACTGAAGCACA